TATATATATATATATATATGTTGTGTCTTTGCTGGTGCATGCAGGATTATGATTTCTTAGTAGCAACAGCAGCAGAGAGCAGCAGCAGCAGCAGCAGCAGCAGCAGCAGCAGCAGCAAGGGCCCCTCTGGTCAGGATGCATTAATGCTTGCTGCAGTTGCTGCAGCAGTAAAAAAATCTCCTCCCCTAAAGGGGGCCCCTGCGGAGTCTGTTGAGGGGCCCCCTGGTGCCCCAACCTCTCCTGGGTCTTCCCCGTTATCGGGGGGCCCCTCTCCCACCCCAGGGGCCCCCACAAGAACCCCTGGGGGCCCCCCATCCCCTGGGGGCCCCCAAGAGATAAAAGGATGTATAAATACAGGAAAAGATGGAGAAAAAGAAGAAATAGATGATAAAAGAATAAAGGCAGAAAAAAGAAGAGCATATAGGGAAAGAAAGAAGAAAAAAAGACAAATAGGTATATTTACGAACATAAAAAATAATAAAAATATTTATTGTTGTGGTCTCCCTCTTTATTATAAGGAAGAAGATGTTTATAATTTATTCAAAAAGGCAGGAGTATTCAAATTAGATCCAGAGACACGTAAGTATATATAAATAAATTAATAAATAAATAAATATTATTAATTAATTAATTAATTAATTTGTATGTATGTAAGTACATTCATGCATCTTGGTCCTGTTGGATTCGTCTCTTTTTGTTCTTTTTGGGGGTTTTTTTTATCACTTTAGGGTTTAGGGTTTAGGGTTTAGGGTTTAGGGTTTAGGGTTTAGGGTTTAGGGTTTATGATGAGTAGCCATCAGTAGTTGCATGGATTTTTCTCGTTTTTTTTTCCTTGGTTATGTATAATATAATTAATATTAATTAATTAATTAATTAATTAATTTATTTATTTATTTATTTATTTATTTATTTATTTATTTATAGTACAACCTAAGATAAAATTATATTATGACGAAGAAGGAAGATTCAAAGGAGACTGTCTCCTTAGTTTTGTTCATGAGGCAAGTGTAGATACAGCCATTCGTTATTTTGATCAATATCCTGTTACAGATAAGCATACTATTCAGGTACGAAACAAGGGTTTAGGGTTTAGGGTTTAGGGTTTAGGGTTTAGGGTTTGGGGGGGTTTTTGAGGGTTTAGGGGTATTTTTAGGGTTTTTTTAGGGTTTTTGAGGGTTTAGGGTTTAGGGTTTGCAGAATATTATTATTAGGGTTTTTGTTGTTTATTTTTTTTGTTGAATTTATATTCTTTTTCATCATCTCCCTAGGGTTTAGGGTTTAGGGTTTAGGGTTTAGGGTTTAGGGTTTAGGGTTTATGTATAGGTATCTCGTGCTGATTTTTCTATAAAACAAAAAGGAGACAATGAGGTGCCTATACACCCCAATAATAAAACACCAGTTATGCAACCAGCAGCACTAAGAAAAAGAAGAAAAATGATTCTTGCTGCACAACAAGAACAAAGCAGGTAATTATACATCCATGCATGCATGCATGCATGCATGCATGCATGCATGTAATTTGTCTGCATGCATGCATGCATGCATCCATGCATGCAAGATACAGGGGAGGGAGGGGAGGATAGGAGGGGTATAAAAAGGGAGAAAAGGCGACAGTTGCTGCACTGCATGCATGCAAGGGAGAAAAGGAGACAGTTGCTGCACTGCATGCATGCATGCATGCATGCATGCATGCATGCATGCACGCATGCATGCGTGTCTCCTTTTTCTGCAGGTTATTAAGTTGGGATGGAGACACAGCAGCAGCAGCAAGAAGAGGGAGACATAATATTATTGTACTTAGGCCTATGTACTCTCTTATGCAAGCACAGGTAAATTAATAAAAGGAGACACTTGCTGCTGCAGCAGCAGCAGCAGCAGCAGCAGCAGCAGCAGCAAGGAGAGGGAGACGCACACAAGAAAAGGAGACAAGCAGCAGCAAGAGAGACATTTAATTTTTTTTTTTTCTGTATAATGCATCAATTTAATTGTCTCCTCTGTATATATAATAAATTGTCTCCTTTTTTTCCTTAATTGTCTCCTTTTTTTCCTTAATTGTCTCCTTTTTTCTTCCTTAATTGTCTCCTTTTTTCTTCTTCTTCTTCTTATTAGGAGTACGAAGAAGGAGACACTTTTTATGAAGAACTTCGTGAAGAAATTGTCCAAGAAGTCGCAAAAATTGCTATGCCAGATAAAGTTACTGTTATACCCGTAAACCCTAAACCCTAAACCCTAAACCCTAAACCCTAAACCCTAATTTTGTAAACCCTAATTTTGTAAACCCTAATTTTTAAACCCTAAACCCTAATTTGTATATTCTTTATTATATACTATAAATACTAGATAGGAAATTAAGCCACTGTTTTATTCTGCTGCTGCTGCTGCTGCTGCTGCTGTTTGCTGCTGCTGCTGCTGCTGCAGAGGCATCCGCAAGGGATTGTTTGCCTGAAGTTCAAACAACCAGAGGAGGCAGAGGCAGTAATAGAGGTTAGTGTCTCCTTTTTGTCTCCTTTTTTTCTCCTTTTTGTCTCCTTTTTGTCTCCTTTTTGTCTCCTTTTTGTCTCCGTTTTTATTGCTACTGCTGCTGCAGTTGCTGCTGCTGCTGTTCTCAATCTTTATTATTATCTTTTTGTCTCCTTTTTGTCTCCTTTTTCCCCCTTTTTATCCCTTTTTCTCCTTTATATGTCTCCTATACCTGTCTCCTTAACCTGTCTCCTTTTTCTATATAGTGTCTCCTTTTTATATATTGTCTCCTTTTTTTTTGTCTCCTTTTTTTTTTTTTCTTCTTATTTATACAGAAGATGAAGGGAAGAATGTTTGATGGTCGTAAGTTGGAGGCATTTTTCTTTGATGGTACAACAGACTTTAGGGCTAGTTGTCTACCTCCTAAGCATAAACAGGTAATTAGGGTTTAGGGTTTAGGGTTTAGGGTTTAGGGTTTAGGGTTTAGGGTTTTTAGGGTTTTTAGGGTTTAGGGTTTAGGGTTTAGGGTTTTGAGGGCTTAGGGTTTAGGGGTGTAAATCATTTTCTTCTATCACAAACAGATGTTGCACAGCCTCCGTCCTCCCTCAAGGGTTTAAGGGTTTAGGGTTTGCATGCATGCATGCATGCACGCATTATGGGGCTTTTTTTTGCATGCAGACAGGAGCAGAAGAAGGAAAAGATTCTTCTGTAGATAAACCTTCGGGGGCCTCCGGGGCCCCCCTTAAGCCTGCAGAAGAAGAAAACTTAGATAGGTTTGGGGTAAGTACCCTTTATTTGCATGCATGCATGCATGCATGCATGCATGCATGCACTTCTTGTCTCCTTTATTGTCTCCTGTCTCCTTTATTGTCTCCTGTCTCCTTTTTCTGTCTCCTTTTTTGCTTAGGAGTGGGTAGAAGAACAAAGTAGTGATGAAGAATTTGAGGTACAAACAGAAGAATAAAATATTTATAAGGGGCCCCCATGGGGGCCCCCCTAGGGGCCCCCTGGGGGCCCTTGCTCTGGGGCCCCTATGAGAGCTGTCCCTAACACCTTAGGCAATTTCCTTTTGCAGCAGCTACTGCTGCAGCAAGAGCACAACAGCAGCAGCAGCAGCAACACCAGCAGGAGCATCCTCTGGTGCTGCTGCAGCGTCTGCTGCTGCTGCTGCTGCTGCTGCTGCTATTTGGAGACAGTATATGTTGTTTTCTTTGAACTGCAGCAGGAGGGGGCCCCTAGGGAGTTTATATCTGCTGCTGCTGTTAGTTAGTTTGTTAGGTGTCTCCTTTTTATTTATATAAGTGTCTCCTTATATAAGGAGACACTTATATAAATAATGTATATATATATATATATATATATA